AAGAATGGTGCAGAAACTAGAAAATGCTGGGATCATAAGACCTGCACATAGCCCGTGTAATTCCCCCATATGGCCAGTGGGGAAGTCAGGCTGCACATGGAGAATGACAGTGAGTTACAGAGCATTAAATAAGGTTACGTTTCTTGTTCATGCAACCGTACCCAATATTGCCTCTCTGATGGATACAGGGATGGAGTAGAGACATAAAAACCTACCACTGTGTCCTAGACTTGGCAAATGCATTCTTCACTATTGCCATCCATGAAGAATCCCAAGGTCGGTTTGCATTTACACGGGGAGGCAGGCAGCAGACCTTTCAGGGCCTGCCACAAACGTGTGTGCGTTCACCAACCTGTTGTCAGGACAGGCCCAGGCACTGGGTATCTTCAGTCCTACCCTTCCAGCCAAACTAGATGTCCATGGAACTCAGGATGGGTTTGGCTGGGGCCTATGGCAGTTCCAACATTCTCTTTGAACTGCAGTTGGGTTCTGGTCTCAGGTTTGGCATGGAGCAGAAGTGAGGTACAGCATGACTGAAAAACATTATTGGCTGCCTGTTCCGTATTACAAGCAGTAGAGCCAATAACCCAAACAACTGAAGTCGTAGTTAAGACCACCTTGCCAATTCAGGGCTGGGTGAAAGATCTGACCCACCTTCCTAAGACAGGAGTGGCCCAAGTACAGACAACGGCAGATGGGTTGCCTATCTCGGGCACAGGAATAGTCTGTCTTCATCACCACTGAAAGAAGAGCATCACTTTGGCCCAATGATGTATCATGGCTATGTGCCAGAAGAGACAGTGACCTCTCCATCAGAGAAGAGTCCCATTCAAGAAGGGAAATATCTCATTCCTGAAGATGCCTGGTATACAGATGTGTCCTGCAAGGTAACTCCAGCAAACCTTCTGGTTTGAAGATGAAGATGGTCAGAGTAGGCAACGGGCAGAGCTGTGAGCTGTGTGGATGGTTATAACCAAGGAACCCCGTGATGATATACTGAATATCTGCACAGGCAGTTGGGCTATGTACTGTGGGCTCACCCTTTGGATTGCACAGTGGGCCATCCAGGAATGGACTACCCACACCCAACCAATCTGGGGCAGAGATTTGTGGTTGGACATACAGAATGTGGTTCTGACACAGGATTCAGACACAGGACTGCACATGTCTACCACATTTCTGGCCACCAACCTCTACAGTCACCAGGAAATGGTGAAGCCAACACGATGGCCCGAATTGGATGGATTGAGGATTCACCATCTGAGAACATCGCCCATTGGTTACGTCAGAAGCTGCAGCATGCAGGACAAGACAGTGTGGACAGCTGATAAAGCATGGGGGCTGCCCATACAGCTATCTGACAACGCCAAGGCATGCTGAGACTGCGATGCTCCAAGATGAGATCTGTGGGACAAAGAATGTCATTACCCTGCAAATGAGTAAACGAGCTTGGTAGCTACTTGCGCCAGATGTAAACATGCACAAGGTGCCTGGTCGGTCCCTGTGAGCAAGGAGTAGTTGTGCAGGTATATTGAAAACACATAAAATAAAGGTCTTCCTTCTGCACCAGCAAGGGAGTCCGTGACTCTCCTGCCACACCTTCGGCTGCTGCTTCTGACATTCAGAGAGAGCTGCAGGCAGAGGGATCCCAGGGTGCTCAGGCCCAGTTAGGGCCAGGGTCTCCTTCAGCCTATTGGGGCCGGGGATGGCAGAAGGGACTGCAGGAGATCCCCTGAGGCACTGTGCAGGAGGAAAGGCAGCAAGGATGCTGCTGCAGGCAGCGGGCTCTGGGCTGGGACTGCACAGCCAGGCACAGCTGCACAGCCCACAGCCTGGGCATGTGTGGCAGGCTCATCCAGCCAGGGCCTGGGGATGTGGTCTTTTCCCTAGCAACACACTCTGATCTTCCAGTTCTGGTGTGTCTCAGCCTTGTGCTTGATGTCTTTCTGCTTCAGGATCTTTGAGATGACTGTGAAGGTTTCTCCCAGGGCCTGTGGAGCAGCAGAAGCTGGCAGAAGGCACCACAGCATGTGGAAGGAGACCTGATGTCCGCTGCCTCTTAGTCAGGGTGCGTTACGGGAAGTTGCTCAGGGGACAGAGTGTGAACTGGGTTGGAAGGGCAAGGCGGGGACACAGAAGCAGTAACCCTTCTGTGGGCTTCCCCAGGACGATGCTCAGCCGGGTGTCTCACAGCTCCTCCGTGCTCAGGCTCCCGGTGGCAGAGCTCTGAACCCAGGCTGCAGGGCCAGGGTTCCTTCATCTGCACTGAGGGAGGAGGCCAGCCATGATGGACGTGGCATGAAGAAGGAACGGGAGCCGTGCCCGGGCTTCAGGGACTCAGGCAGTGGCACCCCAAGGGGACAGACATCCCCGGGGGCCAATTGCCTGCATCCCTGGCCCTTGATGCCCAGAGCTGTGTGGGGTCAGCACGCCCCTGCCCACACAAATGGTCAGGGCTGAAATCCATACCTGTGCCATGCTCTGGGTCTTGTCATTCACAGGGAACAGCAGCAGAAGCAGGCTCAAGCACAATCTGCATTTCTCTCTTATGTTCCACTGTCTTTTTATTAGTGTACAGTGAGTTCTCACAAAACTCCTGCTTTTGTTGTGCTCCGGCCCCTCTGGCTGGCATATTCCAGATGGTGCCTTAGAAGGGCAGAGTAGAGGGGAACAATCATGACTCTGCTGCATCCAGGTACATCAGTGGAGGACCTGATCCAGGCTCTCAGCAGGACCTTGCACTTGGCCTCGTTGAACTCCACCACGTTGGCATGGGCCCACCTCTCAAGCCTGTCCAGGTCCCTCTGGATGGCATCCCTTCCCTCTAGCGGCTCATTGCACCGCTCAGCTTGGTACCAGCTGTAAAACCGCTGAGGGTGCGCTCAATCCCACTGTCCATGCTGCCTACAAAGATGGTGAATCAAACCGACCCCAGCACTGATCTCTGGGGAATACAGTCGTCACCAGTTTCCATGTGGACATTGAGCCATTGACCACAACTCTCTGAATGCCCATGTCTCCCCATCCCATCTACAACCATATGACCCCATATTTGAGCTGTGAACTCAGGGATCCTGAGATTTCCCCATCCCATGTCCACTCCACCCCATTTCCAAGACCAAGAAAGTGTCCCCACAGCATTGACCCCCTGGGAGCTCTGACCCCCTGCCCCTGAGGCGCCTGGCTCTGGAGTGCTGAGGCCCACGGCCAGAGCTATTCTGCCTTCACCGGGCCGGCTTCCCAAGCAGGGCATGTCTGTCTGCGTAAAACCAGAGGGCTGGCTCATCCAAATGCTTGCTGATTGTTTGGAAGCCCAAATCCTTCCAGCCTCCAAGCTGGAGGCAACACCTCTTGGGTGCAATCGTGCGGCGCCTGAGTGAGAGGGTGACCTGAGATGGCTGCACAAGAGTCACCTTAATTTCTCTGTTATCTTACTTCCAATAACCCCACTGGGTGACCCTTGTGTCGGTCTCTTAGAATTTGGATCTAGGAGGTGACTGTTCCATTGGTTTATAATGTTCTGCAGGAGTGATGCGGAACCATGGTGAGGTCACAGTCGTTGCTGGGGTGGCAGGGCTTGGCCCTCGGTGGCGAGCAGAGCTGGTGCTCTAGTGAGCGAGTGGCACACAGAGACTGAGCTCTGAGCGTTTTGTGGCAAGGATCATCCTTGAGAGCCCGTCAGAAGCACCGCTGCGGCGTGTGTGTGACCTGGGCACAGCCTGGACTGACCTGGACCAAGAGGTGAGCTGGGCTTGGTGCTGCGTGGTGGCTGGAAGGAGTCTCAGCAGAAAAGCTGGGCTGGGGAGGAGTTCCCAGCTCAAACGAGGCCCTTCCCAATGGCTGTTTCCAGGGGAAATTGATTCTCTGAGAGATTGTGGCACACGTTTGGGTGAGGATGACGAATTGCCGTCACTCCCCTGTGTAACACTACAGTGCAATGGAAAGTGCAGCAGTAACAACAGGGTGGCAAAGTCCGAGGCTGCAGCAAGGGAGGATTTGCCCAAGTGCAGCAGCTGTGGACACAGAAAGAAAGGAAAAAAGCTGCTGAGCCTTGGAAGGCCTCAGGTAGCAGGGATCTCCACTCAGACACCCTTGCCTCCACTGCCAACTCTTCAGTGATGACTGGGAAGAGTTTGTGTGCACCTGAGCTGCCCTGCCTTCCCACCAGGTGCTCAACCACTGCCTCAAGCTGTGACTGACCATTGCCACACAGCCCTGCAAAACTGCTGCTGGGCCCCAGCCTTCACCTCAGACAGGACAAAGGAAGAAGAGCACAGACTTGATGCAGTGCAACTTGTGCTTTAATGACCCACGGAGCGCTGGCTGTGCCGTATCCAGCCCATTTTTAACAAAACCCCACTGAAGTCCCGGTGGAGAGCCGGGTGCTCAGCTGGGGACATGCACTGTCCGGTGACATCACAGGCACGGTGACATCACAAGCACTGTGCTGGGGCCGTGGCTGCCACCAGTGAGTGCCACAGCCGTGAGCGCTGCGCAGCAGTGTGGACACGCTGCGTCAGCTCTCGTCCCGGCTGGCAGTGAGAGTGGTGGTGGCTGACGGGTGCTGCCCGCTGTCGTTGACGGTGCTGCTCAGCCATTGGGCTGGAGTGTGAGCTGGAAGGGAGAGGGACTGCAGCTGTGCCTGGTAAGCCAGAACTGTAGGTTCGTCAAACGTGGGAGTCGTACCAGTGCATCCATTGCAGCTGCAGCAAGAGGAGAAGATGAAGGGGGTCATTTTCATGTCAGGAACGCAAAATGCGTGCTGCTAGGGGTATAACTGGTGGTGAGATGGAGGACAGGGCTTGCTGGGAGAAGTGGTGGCAGTTAGACACAAGTTAGATGTAGACTTGGCACAGTTCTTGCAACCTGCTGCTTCTGAGACTCCTCGAGAGTCACAGAAACGAAGAAAGATGGAAAAGTGCTTATTGCTCATGATTCTTCCCTTGTTGACTCTTTCCTTAGGGTTCCATCTGAAAGGTGATCTTGGGTCCAAGCAGTCCCAGAGTGCAGCCGCCTCTTTCCAAGAGCGGGGAATTCCTTTGGAGACAGCCCAACCTTGCTCCAAGAAGTTCCCCATGCCTCAGAAAGGAGTCGACTGCCACTTCTATTTCAACTCTGTCTGCTTTAAGGTATGGTTGGGTGTCTTTTGCCTGGATTTCCTTCCTTTCCTCGCTTTGAAGAGGAAGGGCTGGAGCAGGGGGAGACCTGCTGGCGATGCGTTGCCTTCATCAGCAGTGGCATTGTGCGCTCCCTGCTACCAACCTGGGCCGACAGCACGGACGTCTTTCAGGCTGTGCTCTTATGTTCCTTTTGCTTGCAGGGAGACAGCTGTCCCTTCCGCCACTGCGAAGCGGCTCTGGGGAGTGAAGAGGTCTGCAAGCTGTGGATGCAGGGTCGCTGTTCCAGCAGCGACTGCAGGCTCAGACACACAAAAATTGATGTGAGTGCTTGCCTAAAGATGAGCTCTCCACTTCTCTCTGGCACCACCTGCAGCGCTGCATCTCTCTGCAAACCTCCTCTGCCTGTTTCCATGACCCTTCCTTTCTTTCTCTCTTCAGAAGAAGCGCAGTGAGATTCCCTGCTACTGGGAGAATCAGCCGGGAGGCTGTCAGAAAGCCCACTGCCCTTTCCTTCACTTGAAGGAACGCGGTGGGAAGGCACCGACTGTACCACCAAGTGACGGTGAGTTCCTGATGGCATGAAGCATGACAGACTTAATGATGAATATTACTTCTGAGCGGGTGCAGGATGTCAGGTAACATTCATTGGGGAGCGCAGGGAAGAGTGGTGACCAGTGAAATATTGGTTTGTGTTTTGGCTGTCAGAATAGGGGTGGGTGTTTTCTGGAGAGAGGTCAATGCATTGCAGGTCTGTGCCGACTGCAGAAATGGCACAACATTTGAGCAGGGGAAAGGCCAATGCAAGAAACTGTGCTTGAAAATTGGAAGCTTGTGGCTTGGTGCGCTGAAACCTTCCTCCAAAGAGATGCTCTTCAATTATTTCTTGTCTCCTTTCTGCCAGAAGCTGACACGAGCCTTCCTCTGACCAGCGGCCCTGCACAAAGTCTGGAGAGCCAGACAGAGGTTGAGAAGGCAGCAGAGAGAGGTACAGATACTGAACAGGCATCTGGGTTTGAGGCGCTGCCTTTCGACTCCCATGTTCTGATGGTTCTCTCCTGGACTGTTCTCTGCAGGTGACATCCCATCTTCCTCCCATGGCCCGGCTGCGCAAAAGCGCAAGCGATGTCAGGAGAAGGGCAAAGCAAGCGAGTTGCCTCTCAAGAAGAGAGTCAAGGGTGAGCAGCAGGAGCTTGTTGCAGTGCCTCAGCGCAGTCATGCTGCCACTCAGCATTGTTGTGTGTCAGAGTTTTCCTTGCCCTGGACTATTGCTGAGTGCAGCTCGTGGGTTTCTTTGTTCCTTTCGATGCGCTGTTGGTAGAGATGGCTGTGTGGAAAACATTGCTGAGAATCCTGGACATGGCAATGTAATTCCGCTGGCCAAATGTATTTCGCTTTGTTGTGGGTTGGCTTGTGGGAATGATAGGAGAACGGGGATTTCTCTTGAGCCACAGCAAGACCTTATCAGCAACCTCTTCCTTTTACTGCAGCTGGACGCAAGGTGTACCTCAGGTCTGCTGACTGGAAATCCACCTTCCCCAGGAAGCAGACACTGAAGCGCAAAGCAGCGGACATGCAACCGTCTGCTGCTGAGGACACCGATGAGCCCCCAGCCAGAAAACTGCCTATGGTAAGAGCAGCAGAACAGCAGCAGTGCATACGGAAGGTTTACACTGCACTTGAAGTCAAGGTGGACATTTCACATGTTCTACAGGTCTGCTGTTTCCTTTGAAGGCAGCAGATGTCTCACAGGGTACTTGTGGAAGACCTCTATTTTGGGTAGATGTAGGGCAAGGATTATGTAAGACTCTGTGATTCTACAATTCTCAGATTGCTCTGCGGTGTGAAGGATTTTGTCCACGAATGGTGCGCTGTTAAAAGCACCCGAGGTCATTGTAACCTTCAAGAGAAGGTTTGTAACCATTGTAACCATTGTAACCTTCAAGAGAAGGCTTTCTTCAGGAGCCCCGAGCTTCTGTATTTGGGTTCAGGCTCAGCAGTGCCCAGGGGAGGGAGGAGCAGTCCTCAAAGATCATCCAGTGCTCCAGCTGTCCTGCTGTGGCCAGGGCTGCCAGCCACGAGATCTGACAGCCTGAAACCCATCCAGCCTGGCCTTGAATGCCTCCAGGGATGGGGCATCCACAGCTTCTCTGGGAAAAGAAGCTACTTAGGAAGCTCTGAGCCGTGCTTCATACACACTGTCTTGTTTCTTCCTAGGCCATCGTTCCAGCCCTGCCTGGGGACAGCCTGGTGACCATTCCGGCAGTTGAAACACCTCCGAGCAGGTGATGACCACCACTTGTTCTTTGTCAGTGCCATTTTTACATTGGACATAAGTTCTTTCACATCAGGGGACAAATGGGGTGTTTGAGAGGTGCCGTGGCATAATGCAACAAACAAAGAGGTCATCTGCAACAACTTAAATTGCTCGCTCAGAATCTCTGCTGAGTATGTCATGGGGACAAGGAACTCAGCCAGTAAACAGCTTTATGCAGAGGATGACTTCTTCACGCATTTACAGTCAAACAATGAGGCTGGCAGTGTGCTTCTGCTACAAAACCTGGCCCCTGTTGGCTGGACTCAAACTGCTCTGTCTGCACACATCAATTGCCACTGTGACACGTGTGCCTGCTGGTATCTTGCACTCTCAAGGCAGCCTCAGGTGAACTGAATCGCCATCCCTCTGCGAGCGTGAGGTGCGGGAGGGGTTAACCACAGATCTCAGAGCTGGTAGCTGAAAGCGTACCTGCAGTTAGAAATGCCAGGTGCTGATTGTTCTCTTCCTTGTTCTCCCCAGTCTGGAACTGCTTCTGGGAAGCCAGGCAGACTCCGTGGCAGACTCTGTGCCTTGGGCCTCACAAGCAGCACATCAGATGCAGCAGCTGAGCTGCACAGAGGCGGGGAAAGCGCTCATCTCCAAGGAGGATGACATCGAGACATTAATGATGGAAATCATGGGAGATGAGTTAGAAGGAGAAATTGACATGGATACTGAGAAGGATACGGACGAGCTCCTTCAGGAACTGTCTGACATCATTGACAGTGTAACACCATAGACTGATTGTATATTTTAAAACAACCAACAACAAAAAACAATTAAAACCAACCCTATTCCTTTTCAACCAACCCTGTTCCTTTTCTTTCTTATACTGTGGGGACACTTTTCGTGAAACTGTGCAAGGAGTCTGAAAGCAAACTGGTCAAAATCAGCAGTGGAAAAGAATGGTGCAGAAACTAGAAAATGCTGGGATCATAAGACCTGCACATAGCCCGTGTAATTCCCCCATATGGCCAGTGGGGAAGTCAGGCTGCACATGGAGAATGACAGTGAGTTACAGAGCATTAAATAAGGTTACGTTTCTTGTTCATGCAACCGTACCCAATATTGCCTCTCTGATGGATACAGGGATGGAGTAGAGACATAAAAACCTACCACTGTGTCCTAGACTTGGCAAATGCATTCTTCACTATTGCCATCCATGAAGAATCCCAAGGTCGGTTTGCATTTACACGGGGAGGCAGGCAGCAGACCTTTCAGGGCCTGCCACAAACGTGTGTGCGTTCACCAACCTGTTGTCAGGACAGGCCCAGGCACTGGGTATCTTCAGTCCTACCCTTCCAGCCAAACTAGATGTCCATGGAACTCAGGATGGGTTTGGCTGGGGCCTATGGCAGTTCCAACATTCTCTTTGAACTGCAGTTGGGTTCTGGTCTCAGGTTTGGCATGGAGCAGAAGTGAGGTACAGCATGACTGAAAAACATTATTGGCTGCCTGTTCCGTATTACAAGCAGTAGAGCCAATAACCCAAACAACTGAAGTCGTAGTTAAGACCACCTTGCCAATTCAGGGCTGGGTGAAAGATCTGACCCACCTTCCTAAGACAGGAGTGGCCCAAGTACAGACAACGGCAGATGGGTTGCCTATCTCGGGCACAGGAATAGTCTGTCTTCATCACCACTGAAAGAAGAGCATCACTTTGGCCCAATGATGTATCATGGCTATGTGCCAGAAGAGACAGTGATCTCTCCATCAGAGAAGAGTCCCATTCAAGAAGGGAAATATCTCATTCCTGAAGATGCCTGGTATACAGATGTGTCCTGCAAGGTAACTCCAGCAAACCTTCTGGTTTGAAGATGAGGATGGTCAGAGTAGCCAACGGGCAGAGCTGTGAGCTGTGTGGATGGTTATAACCAAGGAACCCCGTGATGATATACTGAATATCTGCACAGGCAGTTGGGCTGTGTACTGTGGGCTCACCCTTTGGATTGCACAGTGGGCCATCCAGGAACGGACTACCCACACCCAACCAATCTGGGGCAGAGATTTGTGGTTGGACATACAGAATGTGGTTCTGACACAGGATTCAGACACAGGACTGCACATGTCTACCACATTTCTGGCCACCAACCTCTACAGTCACCAGGAAATGGTGAAGCCAACACGATGGCCCGAATTGGATGGATTGAGGATTCACCATCTGAGAACATCGCCCATTGGTTACGTCAGAAGCTGCAGCATGCAGGACAAGACAGTGTGGACAGCTGATAAAGCATGGGGGCTGCCCATACAGCTATCTGACAACGCCAAGGCATGCTGAGACTGCGATGCTCCAAGATGAGATCTGTGGGACAAAGAATGTCATTACCCTGCAAATGAGTAAACGAGCTTGGTAGCTACTTGCGCCAGATGTAAACATGCACAAGGTGCCTGGTCGGTCCCTGTGAGCAAGGAGTTGTTGTGCAGGTATATTGAAAACACATAAAATAAAGGTCTTCCTTCTGCACCAGCAAGGGAGTCCGTGACTCTCCTGCCACACCTTCGGCTGCTGCTTCTGACATTCAGAGAGAGCTGCAGGCAGAGGGATCCCAGGGTGCTCAGGCCCAGTTAGGGCCAGGGTCTCCTTCAGCCTATTGGGGCCGGGGATGGCAGAAGGGACTGCAGGAGATCCCCTGAGGCACTGTGCAGGAGGAAAGGCAGCAAGGATGCTGCTGCAGGCAGCGGGCTCTGGGCTGGGACTGCACAGCCAGGCACAGCTGCACAGCCCACAGCCTGGGCATGTGTGGCAGGCTCATCCAGCCAGGGCCTGGGGATGTGGTCTTTTCCCTAGCAACACACTCTGATCTTCCAGTTCTGGTGTGTCTCAGCCTTGTGCTTGATGTCTTTCTGCTTCAGGATCTTTGAGATGACTGTGAAGGTTTCTCCCAGGGCCTGTGGAGCAGCAGAAGCTGGCAGAAGGCACCACAGCACGTGGAAGGAGACCTGATGTCCGCTGCCTCTTAGTCAGGGTGCGTTACGGGAAGTTGCTCAGGGGGACAGAGTGTGAACTGGGTTGGAAGGGCAAGGCGGGCACACAGAAGCAGTAACCCTTCTGTGGGCTTCCCCAGGACGATGCTCAGCCGGGTGTCTCACAGCTCCTCCGTGCTCAGGCTCCCGGTGGCAGAGCTCTGAACCCAGGCTGCAGGGCCAGGGTTCCTTCATCTGCACTGAGGGAGGAGGCCAGCCATGATGGACGTGGCATGAAGAAGGAACGGGAGCCGTGCCCGGGCTTCAGGGACTCAGGCAGTGGCACCCCAAGGGGACAGACATCCCCGGGGGCCAATTGCCTGCATCCCTGGCCCTTGATGCCCAGAGCTGTGTGGGGTCAGCACGCCCCTGCCCACACAAATGGTCAGGGCTGAAATCCATACCTGTGCCATGCTCTGGGTCTTGTCATTCACAGGGAACAGCAGCAGAAGCAGGCTCAAGCACAATCTGCATTTCTCTCTTATGTTCCACTGTCTTTTTATTAGTGTACAGTGAGTTCTCACAAAACTCCTGCTTTTGTTGTGCTCCGGCCCCTCTGGCTGGCATATTCCAGATGGTGCCTTAGAAGGGCAGAGTAGAGGGGAACAATCATGACTCTGCTGCATCCAGGTACATCAGTGGAGGACCTGATCCACGCTCTCAGCAGGACCTTGCACTTGGCCTCGTTGAACTCCACCACGTTGGCATGGGCCCACCTCTCAAGCCTGTCCAGGTCCCTCTGGATGGCATCCCTTCCCTCTAGCGGCTCATTGCACCGCTCAGCTTGGTACCAGCTGTAAAACCGCTGAGGGTGCGCTCAATCCCACTGTCCATGCTGCCTACAAAGATGGTGAATCAAACCGACCCCAGCACTGATCTCTGGGGAATACAGTCGTCACCAGTCTCCATGTGGACATTGAGCCATGGACCACAACTCTCTGAGTGCGATCATCCAGCCAATGCCATATCCAGCAAATGATCCCTGCCTCACATCCATTTTTCTCCAATTTGATGACCAGGATTTCATACTGGACAGTGTCGAATGCTGTGCGTAAGTCCAGCTAGATGATGTCAGTTGCTCTTCCTTTAAATACTGATCCTGATCCTGAATCCTAATTTTGACATATGTGGATGGGTTAACTCAGAAGCAATGGAGAAGCAGGGAGTTGTTGAAAGCCCCTCTCATTTTGTCCTCTGCTAGAGCAGAGTTGTGCCTCTACTCCTTTCCTCTCTATGAAATGTGATGAATGCTACTCCTCACCAGCACTGTTTGTGAAGCTTAATCTGCTCTTTGTAAGCCTCAACAGGGGAGCCCTCACAAAATCAAGATCATTTCAGAGTAGCTATCAGTTAGTTAGAAACTTCTTTCATGTTGTGATCAGAAAGCAATAATTCTCTCATATACCCTGCCCTCTGAAAGCAGTCCTCTTTGGGATGACAACATCAGTGCGTGACTGTGCTAATGTTCAACCACACGTCTTGGGAACATCTTAGAGCCAGGTCTCTGTCTCCATTTTGCTGTGCTGATGGAGCTGCCCTGCACAGGGA